GCTGTCAAGTGTATTCGCTCCAAAACAAAAAAAAAAAAAAAAAAACAAAAACAAAAAACTCCAAAAAAAAGGAAAAAAAAAACAAAAACGGGCCCTGTGTGTTGCCCAGATCCTGTAGAGGATGGAGAAGGGGTTGTGGAGTGGCCCTCCCTGCAGGCGCCTTCACACTTTTCATCTCTGTGTCTCCTGCAAGTGCACATGGGGTGGCATGGGGAGTGTTAGCAGTCTGGGGGGTCTGGACCTCTCCTTTTAGGGTGTGTTCAAGGTAGGTGAGGTTTGAATTGGCTCAGTAAGAATGAATGAAAATACCTTTAGTTCTCCTTCACTAAGAAATTAAGACGATTTGCATCCTCAGAGCCCAGAGCTTAGTTTGCAATTTGGTCTGCATTCTTGCTCTTCCAGCTCAGTCTGGGCCATTGGCTTTGACCTGCGGCCCCCTTCTGTCCTGCAGGGGTTTGGATTATGGAGCTGGGTTATTTGCGCAGGACTGTGTCCTGGCTGCTCTGTGAGTACTGCAGCCCTGGTGGGCAGAACTGCGGACACCACTCATCCCCGTCTTCCGTCTGTAAAGGTCTTGGCGTGCATGATTGAGGCGGAGCTCAAGGAGCAGCTAAGAAGAAAGCAGGAAGCTTTGACACGTTTCCAGAGACAAGTCAGACACCGAGTAAACCAACAAGTCAGGCTCAGAAAAATGCAGCAGCCTCAAAGATGTGACGGAGCAGTAAGTCCACAAGTCCACAGTAGGCCAGGGGGTCCTCACGTGCGAGGGACCACGAGGCCACGGCGGCGGCTGTCATTCTCCTTTTATCCTCGTGGTGTTCCTGTTTACTGTTTTGCTTTCATCAGATAGTTAAAAGTAATGTCAGAATTTCAGAATCAAACTTGAGTTTGAATTCTGGTTTTGCCACTAGTTAGCTATGGCTCTAGACTAAATACTTCACTGGGTGCTGTGGGAATTAGTCGAGGTAAATAAGTTGCCAGCATATTGTGAAGTAGTTGCCTGGCCAGTGTTAGTTTCCCTGCCAGCAGAAGCCTCTTCCTGCCGCTGCCCTGACTGTAAATCTGGGCTGTGTGGCGGGGTTTTCGATTGCACTGGAATGGAATCTGACTGTCCCTCTTCTTTCTTCACATAGGCAGAGAAAAGAGGCTCCCCAGCTATGCAGTCTTCAGGGCCAGGACACTTCTCTTCTAAAGCAGCAAGTGTGTGTTCAGGCCGTGTGGAGGCTGCTGCTGGGATTTCTGGCTCGCCTCCTTCCCAGGTGCTTGAGGGTGCAGCAGAAGGCGGGCAGAGTTGGGCTGCACTGCTCCCGCAACAAGCCCAGGCTGTGAGCACATCCTGATTTTATGTCTGAATTTTCCCTATGCCCTGAACTAAAAATATGACATATTTAGAATGTGAAGAAGGGTTCGGAATTATATTCAACCTTTTATTACCTTTTTTTAACTTTTATAAAGTAGAGAATACTGGGATATTTTAAATTTACATTTAGTTAATTTTGGTAAAACACTTCGAAATCATGTAAAGGATGATGCCAAAGTACTAGATAATGTAAACCCTTAACGAATGCAGTTTTGAGAAAATGTACCTTGTACTCAGTGACTCATTTTCAATGCCTCACGTTTACAGTTAGCCTGTGGCCAGCAGGTGGCGTACCGGTTATGTTGCTGGACTCCTACATTGCTAACCGTGGTTCTAGTCCCAGACCCAGTAGCTTGAAAACCATGCAGCATGCCCAGGATCCCAGGAGGAGCATGGAGGAGAAGGGATTGCAGCATGGCCATCCCCCAGGGGCGATTTCTCAATTTCCCTTTCACTGTCTCTGTCTCTCTGTGACAACTGCAAACACTCTAAGGCAAAAAACTCTTTGTTTTTTTTTTGGAGAGGTTTTTGCTATACGGCGCATGCGCTCGCTAGACAGACAGAGAGACAGAAAGCAAGAAATCACCCACCGGGGGAAGGCCATGCCACAATCCCTTCTCCATTCTCCTCTTGGGATGTTGGGCATGCACACATATGTGCCTGGAGTGAGTTTTAAGCCATCGGGTCCGGGACGTGAACCACGGTTGACCACATGGGAATCCAGCGATATAGCCATTACGCTAACTGCTGGTCCCGGGCAAAAACCTCTTTGGAAAAAAAAAACGAACCAAATTAGCCCTTGTGCATGAAGTCATCCACTTAAGTCATCGGTACTCCATCCAGATTAAAAATCCATAGGTCCCTAGTCTGTTAGATGGTAGTAGACATATTTGTTGTCTTTGATAATAAACTTGTGCCATGGGAATTAAAAAAATTTTTAAGAGAGATTTTTGCTATAGGGTGTGTACACTTGCTAGAGAGACAGAGAGAAAAGGAGAATTCACTCCCGGGGGGGATGACCACACCATAACCCCTTCTCCATTCTCCACTTGGAATTTTGGGCATGAACACACACGTGCCCAGCGTGAGATTTTACGTTGCTCTGACCACGGTCAGCCACTTGGTAACCATTATGCCCTCTGCTGGTCCCTGGGAATTCAAAAATTCAAAAATTCCAAGGAAATCGGGGAAGACTGTGGAGGAAATGGAACTGAACTGTACGTGGAATCGGTACGTTGGACTGCATGGGTAGACACGAGAGCCAGGAGACGGGGATGAGAGGCCTGCAGTGACAGTTTCTAATCGATGGTTTATAAAGGAGAGCAACAGAAGGATGAGGTTAGGTAGGTCAGAGAAAATACTGCTGTGTAGTGCTTTAACTGGTGCTAAATTCTTGAAAGGAGGTGAACTGCCAGAGTGGCTTAACTGTACTGGCAGTCCTGTAACCCGTGCTAACTGAGACAATAGGTGCTATTTTGAATCTCACCACGGCAGTTGCAGTTTTGTCCACTAGATGTCACTGTGAACTGCACAAGGAGACAGCAGGCACGCTAACCCCTCTGTAGTAAATGGTGAGCACGACACCTTCTGTATGTTGTGGAATTTTCCACTTTCTTGTGTCCGGGGTCTGTACAAACGTAGGATTTTGGCCCTGGACAGTTTTTGTTTGTTTGTTTGTTCGCCATAGGGTTCGTTGCACTTGCTGGAGGGAGACAAAGGACAGCGAGAAATCACCTGGGGTGGGGGATGGCCCTGCCCCAGCCCGCACTCCCCTGTGACCCTCGTGGCCATGCACACGTGTCCAGCGTGGTTCTGTAGCTGCTGGGTCTGGGACTTGAACCCGATTGGCCATATTAGAATCTTAATGCATTAACCGCCATGCCACCTGGTGGCCCCATTCATCTGACGTTGAACTGTGGCTGGCAGTTGGCGTGGTGGTTAAGGTGTCGGACTCTCACGTGGCCGCAGCTGGAGTCCCAGGCTTGGTGAGTTGCTTTCTTGCTTTCTCTCTCTCTGTTTCTCTCTAGTGAATGCATATGTGCCCTATAGCATATTAAAAAAAAATTTTGGAGAAGTTTTGCTATAGGATGCATGTGCTCTCCAGAAAGACAAAGACAGCGAGAAATCACTGCCCCCCCCAGGGGGGATGGCTACACTGCAATCCCTTCTCCGTTCTCTGGTGTGTTTAAGCCACTGGATCTGGGACTTGAACCGTGGTCAACTACATGGGAGTCCAGCAACATAACCATTACACCAACTGCTGGTCCCACAAATTAAAATGTTAATACATGAAATGGATAATTCTTTAAAAAAAATAGAAATATTTAGGATTATATTACTTGGCATCAAAGAATATACTTCAGAATAATGTGGGGTAAAGTATTGAGTTGTGGCTAAATAAAAATTGGCCAGAAACCAATACCCGTAAAGCTGGGTGTGCCTGTGGAGGTTTACTCGTATCCTGTCTACTGTGTGTGTTGGAATTTATTTAAACTTTTAATTAAATGTTAAAGTTATCTGGTCCAGCTTTTCTCTAAGGAATCCTTCTTACACTGTGTCTCCGACGCAGCCCTGTAAGCTGTACCTCTTGGCTTGCCGGCTTTGGTGTCAGCTGGCATTCCTTCGGCAGCAAGGGAACCATGCCTGCCTGCATCTTCACATCACCTTCTCTTCTGCCGTTTAATCTCTCTACCTCTCTCTGTCGTGAGGACTCTTGTGGTGGCATTCAGAGCCCGTGGGGATAATCCAGGGTTATCTAAAAACCCCTTTACCTAATCGTACCTGCAAAGGTCTTTGTCCACTGTCAAGTAACGTTGATGTGGGCAGCCCCGTAGCCCAGTGACTAAGCGCTCTGCAGAGAACGCTAGATCCCACGTGGCCAGCTGCTAGAGCCCAGGCCTGGCAGCTTGAAAAGCTGCCGGCTACTTGTGCACACAGGCCCCAAATCCTGACAGGGTGGAGATAGGGAGGGAGAAGGGCTGTAGTGTGACCGTGTCCCATGGGAGGTGCTTTTTCTCTCCCTTTTTCTCTGGCAAGCACACATGCCTTCTAGCAATTAAAGAAAGAAAAGAGAAAAGTCACATTTATAGTCCGGAAGTCAGGGCCTGGGATCTCTGGCCATTGCTGGGCCACTGCGGCCTTCAATTGGCCTAAACACGTCGGGACTGTCGAGGGTCGAGCGTGTGCCGTGAGGCAGCTCAGAAGGCTTTTCCCTGGCGGAGGGGAGGTCTGAGGAGACTGTAAATAGCTGTAGTCTTCGGAGGGGGTGGAGGAGAGGTTTGTGTAAATGGGGGGGACTTTAGGGGACCTAGAACTAGAGTCTAACACAAGAAGGGATGAAGGCAATCAGGCATGCAAGATGCAAGGGCCAGGTGAAGAAGGGGCTGCTCAGAAGACGGCTGGAAGAGGGCGGATAGCTGGTGTCCGTACCCAGCGTAGAGCGTGCACTGAGAAAGGGACGCAGCCCGTCAGCTGTGAAGCAGTCTGGGGTCCTGGCAGCGGGCACAGCTGTCAGCCAAGCCTCCTGTGCAAGTCAGCCGTTGTGTCAGTGCCGGCACTCTGCGGTAGGGCCTGTCTTCCTGTTGGAGCACTCGTGCATCTGGCATTAAGGTTACAACCCGCTTTTGTTTGCCTTTCCCCCTTTCTCTGGCAGCCTAGTCTAACCATGAAGCAGGCACGTCACCGGCTGGCGTCCTTTAAAACAGTGAGTGAAAAAAAGACATTGGTGTCTCCAGAAGGTGGAAGGGAAAGTTTTCCCACCCAAGAGGTAAATTCATTTCTGATACTCTGTTTTTTAAAATACTGGTAAAAATTATTTACATTTCAGCGTAATTTCAAACTCTGAAATCATAGAAAGTAATGTTGAGTAGTGTAGAATGCTTACATAAATTATGATATATCCATATGCAGCTGATGTTTTCAGAGTAACCAGAGACAAGGCAAAGCGCTGTACCTACAAAGTGAAGTGAGAAAGTCGGGTATAAAAATCACTCCCCGCCATCGTGGCATGGTGGCTAAGTGCGGTGTCGGGGCCAGGTCCCATGTGGCCAGCCGTGGCTCTGGAGTCGCCGCATACTCACCACCAAGTACGTGTGTGAGGCAGGCATCGTTCTGGAGACAGCACTTAGGCTGGCGAGGTGGTCGAAAAAGACGCCGAGAGGGATTTTGGTCAGTGCGTGAAGGGCAACGGTGAGCAGCACGGAGGGAAGCCGCACGCAGACAGCCCAGGCCTGGGTGGAAATGACAGTGCTCAGTGCTGATGATTTCTAGGCAACATTAGGAGTAATTTTTACTCGCTCCTTTTTTTTAAAGTTTTCTATAATGCATATATTTTATTTTCTAATCTGGAAAAAATATTAGTGTGCTATTTAAAAAAAAATTGCCAAAGGGTGCATGCAATTGTTAGAGACAGAAACACAGAGAGAAGGTGAAACAGACAAAGTGGTCGTGGTCATGGTCATGGCACAGGCCCTCTCCTGCCTCTCTCCTTTCAGGACTTTAGGTGCACGTGTGCACTCACTTCTGACATGTTTTTCAAGCCTCTGAGTCCGGGACTTGAACTGCATAGTCTGCATGTGGGAGCCATTCACCTTAACCACCATGCCACCTGCTGGCCTAATGCTGCTAATTTTTTTTTTTTTTTTTGAGAGAAAGATTATCGCTGTAGGGTGTGTGTGCCTGCTGGAGAGGCAGAGAGACTGAAAGCGAGAAATCACCCTGCAGGGAGCGGGCCATGCCACAATCCCTTCTCCATTCTCCTCATGGGATTTTGGGCATGCACGCACACACACCTGGTGTGACTTTTAAGCCCCCGGGTCCAGGACTTGAACCACGGTTGACTACGTGGGAATCCAGCAACGTAACCATTATGCCATCTGCTTATCTCAATGCTGTTATTTTCTTAAAAAAAAGAAAAACTGTCATTGGATTCAGAACATACAGAGCGAATAATTGGGGTCTCAGTGTAGAGCGAGGCTCCGGAGGTGTCTCCCGACACTTAGGAAGGGAGGCCGTTCTGTTGCCGACTTACCTACTTCTTTCAGAGCCCAGACATGATACAGGGCGGTGTGTTTTCCTGTTTACCGAGTTTGGGCTTTGATTTCGAGTCTGAGTGGGAGCATCCAGTAAAACGCAGCATCTGTCTTTGGTGCTTAGCTCTGTTCCTCTCCCTTTCATTGTTTTGTCGTCAGTCGTCCTTCAGTGTGTCCCCAGCTCCGTCTCAGCACGCGTGGCTGTGGCTTTCCGGCCGTGGACACCGACGTGCTCCTTCACGCAGCGCCTCGGCCTGTCGGACACTCACCTCTAGTGTTTGCAGCTGGTCGGTGAGGCTGTACGTCACGCCTCCCTCCAGTGAGGTTAAGTTTATTACCGAGTTCAGACCCAGCTGGCATGGTGTGCCAGCACAGGCCGCCCGCCCTCGGCCCAGCTCAGCGCTGCCTGGTGGCTCTGCTGCCTCCCGTGCCCGGGTGCTCGAGGCTCGGTCTCCTCGTAGCTCTCAGGTGGTGCTGCACTTGGGGCCAGGGACCTGTTAGCTGAGGGGGTCGGACACTCTCTAATAAGCCAGAAAGAAGAGGTGACCATGCCCCAGGGGCGATGTTTTATAGCGCGTGGAACATGCTCGGGACCTCTCAGTCATTGTTTTTCCAGAAGGAGCTCCGGTCACAGGCCTGACTGAAATAATCACCCTGTAGAATGGAGTATTGAGATGACATCCTTGTGTAAACCAGCTCCACACGTCAGAGGTGCCCTTTCAGCGCAGTTCCTTATTGTTGTGATGCAGGCGAGGAACTTAGGTTGGCCGTTGCTCCCAAGGAATGCGAGCTTGTGTTCCAGAAAGAGCAGAAACAGACCTACTCTGTATACGTGGGAATTACCCAGGAAACCAGGGAGACCTGGCCTCCGTGGAGCTTTTCCCTCACGTTGCGTCGTCTCCTGCCCTCGGGTGTGTGCCGTAGGAACCTGCAGGTCAGAAAGCCACCCGGGGGACCAGCAGTTAGCATAATGGCCATGTCGCTGGACTCCCACGTAGTCGACCGCGGTTCGAGTCCTGGACCCGGTGGCTTAAACTCACGTTGGGCGCGTGTGCGTGCGTGCCCAAGATCCCGAGAGGAGAATGGAGGAGAAGGGATTGCAGCGTGACCATCCCCTCTGGGGGGTGATTTCTCACTTTCTGTCTCTCTGTCTCTCTCTGTCTGTCTCGCGAGCGCACGCGCCCTATAGCAAAAAAAAAAAGAAAGAAAGAAAGAAAAAGCCGTCTGGGCCTGGTCGTGGTCCTGCCCTTTTCCTCACGCCAGTGTCAAGAGCCCCTGGTTGTTGTCGTGGGCTGGCAGGTCAGCTCCTGGTTGCCGTGGGCTGGCAGATCAGGCAGAGTTGTGCTTGCTTGCCCTTGGTCAGGTCACCGTGGCCAGAACCACCAGCCTGCCGGCAGAGGTCTGGCTGGGGCAGGCCAGGCTACCACTTAGGCACTCGGGGTCTCACTCCCTGTGTTTGACACGTGGGTGATGTATTTGTGCCTTTTTTTATTAATTGCCAGAGGGTGTCTGTACCCTCCAAAGACAGAGGGGAAGGAGGCACCCCGCAGTGAGACATGGCCGTACCACAGTCCCTTCATTTCTCCACCCTGTTGGGATTTGGGCGACACAGGCCTGGCAAGGTTTTCAAGCCACTGGTGCTGGGGTCGAGCCAATGTCAGCCACACTGGCTCTGGCCCCTCGCCTGCAGGCCGCCTTGCCTGTGCTTCGAAGAGGCCTTCCCTACCCTTTGCTCTGCACTAGACTGCAGCAACCTGCCAAGAGCGTTCCGGATCTTTCTCAGGAACTCAACTTGTGTTGTTAGGATAGTGCTTTCTGCAGACTGCTCAAATTAGAATTTTTTCCCTTTCTCAGAAAGCACTTTCTAGGAAACCAGCGTCCATCAGGATAAACACAGGAATAAGAGAAGAGTTCCCCGTGAAGGTCCACCAAGGTCTTCTGGCTGCCTCCCATCATCACAGCTTTATGGACAATCAGGTGGGTCAGCAGAGTGGGCGGTAAGACAGTGGCTCGTTAGGGCTGGCTGCAGCTGACTAGGGTAGGGTCAGGGTGGGGATGGTAATGCCCACGTGGGCTTTTACCCAGCCACACTGAGATGTAGCCCATCTACCATACAGTTCACACGTGGAGAACGTCCAGCTCCGCCGTCTTCACAGTGCCCCGGGGCTGTGCACCGCCACCACAGGAAGGGCACAGGCCAGCTCTCCCTCTTTTGTGGCTCGTGCCTTCCTGTGGCACCTCCTGGCCACTGCGTGCTGCACACCTGGGGAGTTTTACTGCTGCACGTCCAGGACTGTTACGGTTTCAGCTCTGAGCTCTAGGCCTGTGCCCGGTTCTATGTATGGTGTAAGGAAGTGGTCCAACTGCATGCTTGTTTTTTCTCCTAGGTTGCATGCGCGCGCTGGGGACAGAGACAGAGAGAGGGGAAGTGAGAAAGCATCCCCCCCATGGGGCACGGCCGTGCCACCGTCTTCTCCACGTCTCCTCTTGGAATTGTGGACATGCGTGCACACGTGCCTGGTGTTCTCAAGACCATGGGTTCAGGACTTGGACTGTGGAGTTGGCCACCTGGGATCCAGCGCCTTAGCCTGCATGCCGTCTGCTGGCCCCGGCTTCATTGTTTGGCATGTGGCTACTCAGTAACCCAGCACCATTTGTTCTTAGCCTGTGTTTCCCCATTACTTGTCCTGGCACCCTTGTTGACGTTGAATTGACTGTAAAGGTGAGGGTTTGTTTTCTTTTTTTTCTTTTTTTTTTTTTTTTTTTTGAGAGGTTTTTGTTGTAGGGCACGTGCACTTACCAGAATGACAGAGAGACAGAAAGCAAGAAATCACCCCCCAAGGGGATGGCCACGCCACAATCTCTTCTCCTCCATTCTCCTCTTGGGATCTTGGGCACGCATGCACACGCACCCAGTGTGAGTTTAAGCCACTGGGTCCAGGACTCAAACCGTGGTCGACTACATGGGAGTCCAGTGACATAGCCATTATGCTAACTGCTGGTCCCGTGAGGGTTTGTTTATTTTCTGAACTCTCGTCTGTGTCTCGTTGTCTTATGTTGGTTCTGTACCAGTCACACTGTCTTAGTTATTATAGCTTTGTAGTAGGTTTTGAAATTGGCAAGAGTGAGACCTCCAGCTTTGTTCTACTTTTCAAGAACGTTCTGCTGTTCTGGATCCCGTGCATTTCCATGTAAATTTATGATTATCTTGTTCATTTACCGCCTCCCCCACCTCTGCAAAGAAAAAGCCCGCGGGTATTTTGATAGAGATCCGTGAATCTGGAGATCAGTTTGGGAAATAGTACCACCTTAGCAATATTGTCTTTTGGCCCATGAACATGGGATGTTTTCCATTTATTTAGCTCTTCTTTATTTCTTTCTCAGTACTGCTTTATAGCTTTCGGTGTACAGTCTTACACCACAAAGGTGTTACAACGTGGTTGTACTGCCTCATAAACTCAGGCCGGCGGTGTCCCGGAGCCTCGAGTCTTATTACAGTCACATTGTGTCTGGGGCAGCAACATTTGGTGTCTTCTTTGTTTTTTGTTTCTTTACATTTTTATTGATTTTTTCTTTAGGAACCCTGCTGTGAGGAATCTCTATCCATTATGATTGATGAGAAAGGGGGAGCTTTGTTTCGGAGGAACCAGCAAGAATTCCCCTCTGAAGTCAGAGGCAAGGCTTTGAGCAGAGTTCCGGTGAGCTTTAGGAGAGAGCGAGCTGACTGCAGTTTGGACGGATACCGTGCTGTGGTACTGGTTTGGGGTTGTAGATTTAGGTTCTGTTAAGTTGGACCAAGTTTATAATTTGCATTTTACTCTAGTAGTTGGCTTGACTACCATATAATTTAAGATTAATTAAGAGTTCTTGCAGAAAAACCGGAGTGTGGCTGCTACCTGACATTCTATACTTTGTGTTTCTGTTCACTTGTAGAAAGTAACATTTAAAAACCCATTATTTGCTGTGATAGAAGAAGAAGAAGAGCAGTCCCACCTTGGGGGCCCTCCGGACGTTCTGCCGGAAGCCCAGGCTCATTTGATGGGAATCCAGAGTGTGGGGCCAGTCACCCAGGCTGTCACGGTGGAGGTGCAGGCGATTGCACCCCAAGGTCAGGCTGTGAAGATCGAAACTCAGAGTACTGTGCTGAAAACCCAGAGTACTGATACAGAGGATGGGAGTATTGTATTGGAAGCACAGAATTTTCTACCTCCAAACCAGCTTTTTCTACCCAAAGACCTTTGTGTTCTTCCCAAAGACCAGACTATTCCACCTGAGTGTCAAGGCCAGGATTGGCTACCTAAGGATCAGGGTCTTCTCTCCAAAAGGGAGCAAGTTCTACGTAAAGACCAGAATATTCAACCCAAACATCAGGACCAGGATTCTCTACCTGAAGACAAAAGTTTTCTACTCACAAACCAGTATATTCTCCCGAAAGACCAGAATATACTACCCTCAAGCCAGGACCAGAATTTCCTACCTAAAGACGAGGGTTTTCTCCCAAAAGATGACCATGATCTCCCTAAAAACGAGAATATTCTACCCAGTTATCAGGACCAGGACTCTCTACCTGAAGACCAAGATTTTTTACCCAGAAACCAGCATGCTCTCTCTAAGGAGAGTCTCCTCGACTGTCTAAACCAGGATTTCTTACCTAAAGACCAAAATTTTCTACCCACAGATGAGCATGTTCTCCCCAAAGATCAGACTTTCCGACCCAAATATCAGAGCCAGGATTTTCTCCTCAGTGATGAACACGTTCTCCTTAAACACCAAAATATTCTACCTGGTTCCCAGGACCAGGGTTCTCTACCTGAAGACCAGCATGTTTCCCTCAAGGATCAGAATATTCTACCCAAAGGTCAGGACCAGGATTTCCTACCCAAAGATGAGGTAAAATAGAGTGAAAAAAACATATGAGGGGCTGGCAGGTGGACTGGTGGTTAAGGGTGCTGGACTCCCACATGGCTGACCGTGGTTCAAGTCCTGGACCTGGAGGTTTGCTTTCTATCTTTCTCTCTGTCCCGCTCTGGTCAAATTAAGATACATACATACATACAGTTAAATGAAATAATTCTTAAAAAAGAGAAGAGAAGAAAAAGAACATATGACCAGAAGAAACAAGCTCCTTAGGATTCGGAGTGGGATTTGCTAGGATATTGAGCTGATTTATAGATTCATAGTTGGAACAGATAATTTCCTGATGGACTTCTGAGAACTCCAGGGTTTTGCTGGCGTATCAGTAGCAGTGCATTGCCCATGTTTGGACAGCGTGCTTTGTTTTCTGAGTCTTCTCCATTAGGAAAGGAGCGGCCTCTGGGTACCCATCTCTTGTGTGTTTCCATGGCCAGCCCTCCCCCAGACAGCAGGTCAACCCAAAGGAAGAAGGAAGAGATGGCAGGAAGCGACTCCTTAGGACTGACTGGGTTTCTGTGGGATATGGCGTTTCACTTTATCCCTAGAACACCCAGGGTGCTGACCGTGGTTCAAGTCCTGGACCTGGAGGTTTGCTTTCTATCTTTCTCTCTGTCCCGCTCTGGTCAAATTAAGATACATACATACATACAGTTAAATGAAATAATTCTTAAAAAAGAGAAGAGAAGAAAAAGAACATATGACCAGAAGAAACAAGCTCCTTAGGATTCGGAGTGGGATTTGCTAGGATATTGAGCTGATTTATAGATTCATAGTTGGAACAGATAATTTCCTGATGGACTTCTGAGAACTCCAGGGTTTTGCTGGCGTATCAGTAGCAGTGCATTGCCCATGTTTGGACAGCGTGCTTTGTTTTCTGAGTCTTCTCCATTAGGAAAGGAGCGGCCTCTGGGTACCCATCTCTTGTGTGTTTCCATGGCCAGCCCTCCCCCAGACAGCAGGTCAACCCAAAGGAAGAAGGAAGAGATGGCAGGAAGCGACTCCTTAGGACTGACTGGGTTTCTGTGGGATATGGCGTTTCACTTTATCCCTAGAACACCCAGGGTACTCCAACCTCGCTTAGCACCGGAGTTCTTACTGAAGCCTAAAGTCAGTTAATGCGTCGTCGGTTACTGAACAATTGACGGTTTGTTTTGCTCTCTTTCAGAAAGTAAATTTGAAGCTGCCACCATCAGTTTTGCCAGGCAGAGGGGCACGGGGGGCACCTCCCCTGGACGAGCTGCGAGTCGGCCTGTGCGGGCACTGCCAGGCTTCCAGCAGAGGGAAGGTAGGGCAGGAGGGGCTGCGGGGCGGAGCCATGTAGGGCTTAGCATGGAGCTTGCACAGATTGTTCTCAGCTCAGCTCCAAAACTGATAAAAATAGGGTTTTCTGTCTTACTTCACAATATTTCACATTATGCTGAGTTTCAAGCGTTACCCTAAAGGGTCTCAACGGCTAGTACGGGTCATCTGTAACAGTACTGCTGTCCATCACTGCAGGTGAACACGTTATTGTTTGTTTTCTCTTTTAGAAAGTACACTTTGAAGAGCCAGACTCCGAGACGGCACGTGAGCAGGGGCGACAAGGATGTTCTCTGAGGGGTTATCAGTTTCTGCCTCCCAAACTCTGGGACCAGGACCTCATCAGAGAACAGGTAGAACAGAATGAAAAAGAGCTATCATGGAAAAGAAAGTACTTGGTCTTGGGAGTTCTCGCCGACTGTCCCGTGAGGTCCTGAGGTGTGGGATCAGGGCTGGGAGCCAGCCAGGAGCTGGGAGCGTGCACCGCCCCATGTGAGTGGCAAGTAGTGCCCAGCGCTGCTGGACGGGGGGCGCTCAGGAAGGTGGGTGGGAAGTGCTAAGTCTTGGCGCTTCAGGCGCCCCCTTCTCTTTCTAATGGTGCTGGAGACCCTGGACCGATGGAGAGTGTTGGCCAGGTCAGCCGCAGCATTCAGAGGGCCGATGCATCGCACTTTTTTTTTTTTTTTTTTAAAGATTTTTGCTATAGAGGGACCAGCAGTTGGCGTAATGGCTATGTCGCTGAACTCCCATGTAGTCAACCGTGATTCAAGTCCCGGACCTGGTGGCTTAAACTCACGCCAGGCGCGTATGCAGGCGTGCCCAGGATCCTGAGAGGAGAATGGAGGAGAAGGGATTGCGGTGTGGCCATCCCACCTTGGGGGTGATTTCTTGCTTTCTGTCTGTCTGTCTCTCTCTTTCTGACAAGCGCACACACCCTATAGCAGAAACCTCTCCAGAAACAAAAGATTTTTGCTATAGAACGCGTGTACTCGCCCAAGAGACAGAGAGACAGAAGGCGTGAAATCACTGTGCTGCAATCCTTTCTCCATTTTCCTCCCAGGATTTTGGGCATGCGTGCACACGTGCCCAGCATGAGTTTTAAGCTGCCGGTCCTGAGACTTGAACTGTGATTGACTGCGTGAGAGTCCAGTGATGTAACCGTCACAACATCTGCTGGTCCCTCATGCTCATGTCTCATTCCAGAACCAGGCATTTCAAGTTTACCAAAGTTGTTCTCTCACTTTTCCTGCAGTCCACAGTTTTCCTGCAGGTGTACCCCTCTGCATGAACCAGGTGGGAGGAGCAGCAGATCCCACGGTAGTTAGGAACGGGGCTTGTCAGACTCCCCTGTGCCTGCTTTGGGACTGAGAATTCAGCTGTGTTACTTGGGCTGCAAGTGTGACATCCTCACTCCTGTCAGGTTGTCCCGGGATATTCTTACCCAGTGCATCCCTGGGGCTCTCACTGGGGCCTGTGATGGTAGTACGAGGGCACACGGCCCTGGTCAGTCTGCTTGGTTTCCGTTCCCCTTCAGACCTATCTCTCACCCCTCTCATCTTGTGTGAGAGGAGGAGAGAACAGTTGCCCCTGGAGTATCCCCACTCCAGACACCAAACCCAGGACTAAGCTTCTTGCAGGGAATGAGCAGGGAACGCGAAAGGGCTCCTTGGGCAGAAGGGCAGCCTGCGTGGGGCGCAGACGTAAGGCCCCCAGCGAGGCTGAGAGCGGGTCCCCTTGGCTCTCAGAATGGGCTCAGTTAGGTTGGGCTTTGTTGTCAGATACTTCTGGACAGGTTAGAGGAGAGGGGATGAAGCAAACTGTTGCTAATTATTGGCACTTGGGGACATACATCCTGGAATTCATTGTGTATTTTTCCCACTGTGATCTGTATCTGGAGATTTTTACGTTACACACGCCGTCTCACACGTACTTCCGCTCTTTCCTGGCAGTCGTATTGTCCTCACTCTGGGGTCACTGGCGTCTGTCACTAGCCCGGCATTTCTGCTCAGTCAGTTTTTTATTTTGTTGTTCTTTTGAGCAAATTTATCAAACGACCCTCAACTTTTGAGAAGTAGGGATTGCAGGAGGACTTGCTCCAGAGTATGTGTGCTGTTGCAGCCCACTTGCCAGGCCTGGCTTCTGCCGAGAGAGCAGCGGAGCAGAACACGGGGTACATAGCAGAGGCATTCCATAGGTTTTGACTCTGCTTGACAGGGCAGTCTGGCCAGGGCTTCAGGGCTTTAGTGTTAGGTCAGTAATGACGGACAGAGTGCTTTGCTGACCTGCGGAAGTGCCTCTTCACTGCACCTCCCGCCGCTGCTGCAGGCCTGGCGCCGCTGCCGGGTCGCCTGTGCTCAGGGCCTGTGCTCTCAGCACACGGACTGTGGGCAGACCTCGGGCACAGCAGCTGAGCGGTGGAGGACAGGGTCCTTCCGTGGCCCGTGACCACGCTACGTGAGACCGGCCTCCAGACTGCTACACAGCAGGCAAGTGGGGCAGAGTGCGCAGCAGCAGGTCCGTCCGCACGTCTGGCTGGGGCTCGCCCGAGTCGGGTCAGCAGCAGAGATGGCAACAGGTGGCACGTGATCGCCAGAGAGGGAGGGGGAGGGAGAAAGCACCTCCCACAGGGGTGACCACACCACAGTCCCCTCTGCAGCCCCTTCAGGGCTCTGGAGACACATGCACTCAAGCCTGTTGTGTTTCTCAGGCCACTGGGTCTGGGACTTGAACTGCACGGTTAGCCGTGCCGGATCCAGCCACCTAAAGCGGCACACCCCCTGCCGGCCTGCTTTCACCCATATTAGCAGTAGTGCGGTTGATGCCGTTAGGACAGCCCACCCTCACGGAGCACGTGCCGTAGGCAGAGTGACTTTGGAGTTCCATGCATCACCCCCTTTCGCCCTCATTGAGACCTCAGCGCTCCGTTGGAGAGCCATCCTTTCACCTCCTCCAGCGTCACCGAGGTTCGGGGCTGGCCTACAGGTGCAGTGAAGACTAATGGCAGCGAGAAGGGCAGTGTCTCCTGTGCCACGATGCATCAGACTGCCCCGACCTGTTAGGTCCCTTCTGGGCCACCGTTGGAAGCCTGCAGCGTGTCGCTGCTGCTGCGTCTTCCTCGCACGTTTGCTCAGTCCTGTTGTCTTCCAGAGCTTGCACTTGGGGCAGCAGCCACCTGTCGGGGTGGCGGAACCATGGCAAGAGGGTTTGTTTCTGGGTGCCCATCGGCCACTCCCTGGCAGGCACGCCAGGGACACTTCCAGCAGAAAGCAGAGCAGGCCCGGCAGTGCGGAGTTAGACGGGCACGGCACCTCAGCTGGGAGCAGGGAGGCTGCCAAGAGCAGGTTCTTGCTCTGCCCTGGTGTGCAAAGCCCACGCTGGCCCAGCGTCACCTGAGGACTCCCCCTGAAGCCCAACGCGTTGTCGGAGCCCTCGCTGCCTATGGAGAACTGTCCTGTTTGTGTGTTACTGCATAAGAGGTGCGTCTCTGCTGTCGGGGGGAGAGGGAGCAGCTTGTAGGGGCGGGCTCTGAGGGCCTTCCATCCTGGGCCTCTCAGCAGACTGGCAGGACCCGAGGCAGGGTCATCAGGAAACCAGCGAGGCAGGCTCGGGGGGCCTTGCCGGGGCACATCGTGTAAGATGTGGAGGACCAGGTTAATATTGCTGGTGTTTTAAGACAATGTCATAATACACTGACCTTTTAAAATTTTGTCATTGTTTTAAATTTGCACCCTATAGCAAAACCTCTCTTAAAAAAAGTCCCCTGCCTAGCCACCACACGTTACAGCCGGACAAGTGCTCACGTATTTTATACTTTTTAACGCTACCATAAACAGAGTTGTTCTCTTACTACTTTTTAATGCTACCATAAACAGAGTTGTTCTCTTACATTTCTTTTTGGGTTGTAACAGATTTTTGTGTGTGCTGATTTTGTATCTTGCAACTTTGCTGAATTCATCACCTTTTTTTTTTTTTTTTTTAGCTGTAGGGCGTATATGCTCGGGGAGATGGAAAGCGAGAAATCACTCCACAGAGGGGATGGTCACGCCACAGTCCCTCCTCCATTCTCCTCTTGGGATTTTGGGCATGCACACACACATGCCCAGTGTGAGTTTTAAGCCTCTGGGTCTGGGACTTGAACCACAGTCGACTATGTGGGAGTCCATTGACATAACCATTACGCCATCTGCTGGTCCCTGAGTTCATCACTTCAAAGGGATCTCTGCAGAATCTTTTTCTCCACATCTTAGTAAGGAAGCTGCTAAATGCGCATAATGGTGAAGGCATGTTATTGTGAGTACCCACACCTACCACCGTGATTCTGTTTTTAAAGAATTATTTTTTATTTAACTTTATTTACTTATTTTAATTTTATCATAGAGGGAGAGAAAGGGGGGAGAGTAAGAAAGCAAGCCACCACATCTAGGATTCGAACCATGGTTGGCCGTGTGGGAATCCAGCGCCCTTAACCACCACACCACCTGCCGACTCTGCACGATGATTCTCTAGGGAACTCTCTGCTAAGTCTCTCCATCTGTTCAGCTTTTATACTGAGTAAATACATACTCTTTTTAATGCATTTCACGATGAACTGGTGCTACCAATACACTTCACCCCACCAGTTTGGCATGCGTTTTATTCACTAGAATTCAAGTTTTATTTATAGTTTGTTTTTCTTCTGAGTAAAATTTGCAAATAGTGAAATATAGTGCCTTGAGTTCCCTGTGTACCTCGGTCAGTGTCGACGAATATGTACCTCTGTGTGCTCCAGGCCTGCACCTGAGATAGGACGTTACCCTCGGTCAGTGTCGGCGAATACCTACCTCTGTGTGCTCCAGGCCTGCACCTGAGATAGGACGTTACCGTTGCCCTAGAAAGGCTCTTCCTGCCCCGTCTCAGCCCACTCTTACGCTCCCCATCCCAGAGGCAAGCTCTGTCCTGCTGTCTCCACTGCCGGTCGTTCTCCCCGCGGTGAAGTCGTGTGCTGTGTGAGGCCCCGCGGTGGCGCCATCGATGGGAGGTCCTTGGGCACGTCAGCCGTCCGTGGCCGCTCTCTCGTCTGCTGGCGGAGAGCGTTTATGCTCCTGGTGACGGGTCTGACGGGCCTGTGGGCTCTTCCGTTTTGTGGCTGTTAATACTGGGAGTGGGGCGCTGCCTTAACAGATACCTGCCAACTGAGGAAGCGGTTTTGGAATTGGATGAGTAGAGGTGGAGCATTTTGAGGCCAGGGCCAGCAGGTGACATGGTGGTTAAGGCCGCTGGATCCCACATGGCCAGCTGCGTGGCTTGAATCCGGAGCCCAGTGGCTCGAGAAACATGCTGGGTGCAAGTGTGCATGCCCAGAATTCCAAGAGGAGAGTGGCGAAAAGGGGTCGGGGCAGGGCCATTCTCCCCTGGGGCTGACCTCTCACTTTCCTTTTCTCTCTGTCTCTGCCTCTGGTGAGAGCATGTGGCCCGGAGCAAATTAAAAGAAGAAAAAAGGGAAGAATCAACAGATAAAAAAAATTGAAGGGCTCATTCAGAGGGCGAGCGCTTGGCAATTCCATCAGTCTCTGTAACTGGCTTTCTCACAGGCCTGTGATAGGTACCGGTCGGGGCCGCGCGTGGAGAGGCAGGCTGGAGCCGGTCAGGAAGAGGGTGAGAGAGGTGGGCAGCGGACGGCTGCAGCCCGGTCTGCCACGACTGCGTGTGTGGCAGAGTCAGAAGCAGCTTTCTGTCCTGGCTCCCTAAGAGCTAACACTCCAAGGTACGTCGATGAGACAGAAGCTGCGTAGTGACCAGGATATATTTAGTCTCTTCCAAGCTCGTAGGATTTACGGTTTGTTGATATGAAAGCTAAGATCCTAGTGAATTGCTCAGGTAAATCTGTATTTTTCACCATAACTTATTTAAAGGAATTTGTTAATTTGTTCACTGTGTGGCTTTCTTTTTCTTTTTAATGTAAAGTCAGTTTTAACTAGCAGTTCTTGAGGCCAGCAGGTGGCATGGTGGTTAAGGCGCTAGACTCTCACATGGCTGACTAGGGTTCAAGCCCTGGACCCAGTAAGTTGAAAGTCGTGTATGAATGTGCACCCACGCCACATCACAGGAGAATGTGGTGAAGGGACTGAGGCATGGCCATCCCCCGGGATGTGATTTCTCACTCACTTACTCTCTCTGGTGAGTGCATATGCCCCGTGACAAAAACTTCAAACCAAACAGCAGTTCCTTCTTTCTGAGTTTGGCATAGCGTGTGTGCACTGTGGAAGAGAGACAGCAGGAAAGTGAGAAGGCAACCCCTGAGGGCTGCCCACCCCGCAGCTCCTTCCCTAGTCCGTGTCTCGGGTTCTGGGCACACGTGCACGTGGCCTGGTGTGTTTTCCGAGCTGTGAGTCCAGGACTCGACCCCTAGTTGGCTATGTGGTGTCCATCAGCGTCACTGGTAACGGTAAACCAGTCGTCATGGTCCCTCACTGTCGCCCAGAATGAGGTACGGATGCCTGAACCCACGTCGGATGACACTGACCTGAGAGGGGAGGCTGAGGGTGTCGGTGGTGTTTATTTTTAAGTTTCCACTATAGGGTACATGCTCTCACCAGATAGAGAACGTAGGATTTACGGTTTGTTGATATGAAAGCTAAGATCCTAGTGAATTGCTCAGGTAAATCTGTATTTTTCACCATAACTTATTTAAAGGAATTTGTTAATTTGTTCACTGTGTGGCTTTCTTTTTCTTTTTAATGTAAAGTCAGTTTTAACTAGCAGTTCTTGAGGCCAGCAGGTGGCATGGTGGTTAAGGCGCTAGACTCTCACATGGCTGACTAGGGGTCAAGCCCTGGACCCAGTAAGTTGAAAGTCGTGTATGAATGTGCACCCACGCCACATCACAGGAGAATGTGGTGAAGGGACTGAGGCATGGCCATCCCCCGGGATGTGATTTCTCACTCACTTACTCTCTCTGGTGAGTGCATATGCCCCGTGACAAAAACTTCAAACCAAACAGCAGTTCCTTCTTTCTGAGTTTGGCATAGCGTGTGTGCACTGTGGAAGAGAGACAGCAGGAAAGTGAGAAGGCAACCCCTGAGGGCTGCCCACCCCGCAGCTCCTTCCCTAGTCCGTGTCTCGGGTTCTGGGCACACGTGCACGTGGCCTGGTGTGTTTTCCGAGCTGTGAGTCCAGGACTCGACCCCTAGTTGGCTATGTGGTGTCCATCAGCGTCACTGGTAACGGTAAACCAGTCGTCATGGTCCCTCACTGTCGCCCAGAATGAGGTACGGATGCCTGAACCCACGTCGGATGACACTGACCTGAGAGGGGAGGCTGAGGGTGTCGGTGGTGTTTATTTTTAAGTTTCCACTATAGGGTACATGCTCTCACCAGATAGAGAAGGAAAGAGAAAGCGAAAAATCGTCCCCCAGAGGAAGTGGCCATGCTGTATTCCCTTCTCCGCTCTCCTCTCAGAATCCCGAGCATGTGCCCGCATGCCTGGCGTGATGTCTAAGCTGTTGGCTTTGGAATTTGAACCATAGAGTAGGTCATGGGATCTGGCCACCACGACCGCCACACTGCCTGCTGGCTCAGGTCACTCGTGTGTTTAGAACTGGTGATTCTGGTGCATCTCGTTATTGAGAACTGCCACTCAGACTATTCATGATATTACCAAAAAGCCCTGCCCCTCTGCCATGTGCTAGGCACGCTTTCACCTTTGAGTAGCTTGAGAGAGACCAGGCAGGACTTGGGGTGAGCAGGCCGCAGTCGGAGCAGGGCACCGAGAGTCCAGGCAGGACTCGGGTAGCAGGCCGCAGTCGGAGCAGGGCACCGAGAGTCCAGGCAGGACTCGGGTAGCAGGCCGCAGTCGGAGCAGGGCACCGAGAGTCCAGGCAGGACTCGGGTAGCAGGCCGCTGTCGGAGCAGGGCACTTGGAGTTCCTGCACCGTTGCGTTGGCGAGCATGATACTCTGACATGCCTTGGCCTTTCTTCCTTTCTCCCTGCTGTGCAGGCTAGGCTTAGAGCATGCTCTTACAGTATGGGTTATACATATATATATTTTTTGAGAGTTTTTTGTTTTGTTTTGTTTTTGCTATAGAGCGTGTGCGCTAGCTAGAAAGAGTCAGACAGAGAGTGAGAAATACCCCCTCAGGGGAATGGCCACGCCGCAGTCCCTTCTCCTCCATTCTCCTCTTGGGGTCTTAGGCTCATATGCACATGCGCCTCGTGTGAGTTTAAGCCACCGGGGCCAGAACTCAAACCGCAGTAGACTACATGGGAGTCCAGCAACATAGCCATTACACCAACTGCTTGTCCCAATACGTGTTGTAAGTTTTAAAAAAATTGTTTAAGGAATTATTTTATTTAACTTTATTATTTTAATTTGATCAGAAAGGAACAGAGAAAGTGAGAAAGTAAGCTGCCAGGTCTGGGACTCGAATTGAGGTCGGCTTTGTGGGAGTTCGGCGCGCTTAACCACCATGCCACCTGCCGGCCCCTGGGTTATAGTTTTGAAAAGGGAAGGTGACTGTTGTTCTGTTAAAATATTCTTGATGCATTTGTGTGTGTGTGGCTTTGCTTCTGTGGAACTTCCTACTTCGGACATAGGCTACATATAGTATCTACTATGTCAGATCTTGTCGTTTCCTGAGCACTCTCGGTGCTTGACCGATGGCACATGGAATCAGGACTTGTCTTTCTGGTTTGTCTGTTAACATCTAACAGCTGGGCACTTGGGAATGCAGACTCAGTTAGTGGCATGGCCTTGAGGCACCTCGGTACAAGGAGGTAAGCACTGCGGCCATGGCGGCCTCTGTCCTGGGTCTCTGCGAGCAGAACCTGGTAACTTCTACTTTGTTCCCTCAGCAACAGAAGCAGTGCCTGAGACGTGGACAGCTGTTCATGGATATGGAGAGAGGACAAGGAAAGGAACAGCAGAGGCAAAAGGAACAAGAGAGGAAAGTGGAAAAGTGAGTGTTTCCTTTGCAGACAGGGCCTTGCCGTGGCGCGATCCTGCCACCTCAGCCTCCTGAGCAGCTGGGACTGCGCCCTGCTTTTCGGGATGGGCTGAGAGCTGAGTCCTGCTCTCCCGTGTGGCTTCAGCCTGCCAAGTAGCAGCCTTTGCCAGCTCGCACCTCCCTGGCTGGACCAGATAGTAAGTTCTTGGTCCTCACTGTGAGTCTTAAACTGCCAGTTAAAATGTTTTTAGGGACCAGCAGATGGCAGAATGGTTACATTACTGGACTCCCACGGAGTCGACCACGGTTTGAGTCCTGGACCCGGTGGCTTGAAACTCACCGGGCACATGGGCTTGCGTGGCCAAAATCCCAAGAGGAGACTGGAGAAGGGATTGCAGCATGGCCATCCCTCCTAGGGGAATGATTTCTTGTGTTTTGCCTCTCTGTTTCTCTGGGAGCACACATGCTCTATATCAAAAAAATCTCTTAGGAAAGGCTTTTGGAAGCTAATCTATGAATAATCGAGCGATGTTTTTGCCTTCTGATCCACAGTAGAAACGACGGTCTCGTCTGAATGCTGGTGAGCAGTTGTGCTCTGCTGTTGGATTTTCATATAGACTTTACTGTTTAGAGGTTCAGGTTCACAGCAAAATGAAGGTGAGGGTACTGTGTGTTGCGTGTGTCCACACGTGCACGGCTTCTCCTGCTGATGCCCGCCGTGCAGCATGCCGTCTGCTACGGTCGACGCACCCACACGGCCACACAGCTATTGTCGCCACCCAAAGGCCGTCCCTGCGCCGTCTCCGCACGTACAGGACGACACGCGTCCACTGTTACGATGTCATGAAGTACTGCGTCGCTGCCCGCGGCTCCACG